CTCTCTCTCTCTCTCTCTCTCTCTCTCTCTCTCTCTCTCTCTCTCTCACACACACACACACACAATGGTTTTTCCTAAACATATCATTCAAATACTGTGATTTCTACATCACATGGCTCAGAATATCTTTCTTTTCCTTTATTACCTTTTTACCTGAAATTTGCTTAGGTACATAATACATAGGATGCCTTGTTTTTCTTTCTCTAGAACTTTACCTCTAATCCTGCCACATTAAATGTGACTATGGTCAAGTTTCAGTAATTTTGAATTTGTCTTCTGACTTGTGGAAGGAAACCTAAAGAAGTCTTTGTCTCAGAATTTCAACAATAAACTAAGATATGTTTTGGCTTGGCATGTTCTATTTTAATTTGGCCTACCTTCAAATGTATTTTTTTTATTTTTAGCAGTTCTTTCCCATCATCACTACATTCTTTAATATGTTTTGGTTTTGTTGTTGACTAATTATCATAAGTAAACTTTATTTGCTCTCTAAAAATTATCTCCTTCCAACTTTCTCCTTGTTTCCTTCCCTTTTTCTTTCCATTTTTCCATCTCTTGATGTTTTTCCTCAATCTTTGCAATTCTTTTGACTATAAAACTTTTTATTTAGAACAGCATTTTTATTTTTATCTTTGTTCACTGAATTCCTTCTTGCTATATTTTCTTTTTTTTCTATAATTTTATTGAAAAATAAATAGTAACGAGACAGTTTCAAATCAAATTGGTAGAACAGTTCCAGTAATTAACACATTGCATACTACCTTCCTAGTGGTTGTTTGTTGTATAAGGTGCAGAAGTGCTATCCTATTTACAAATATTATTAGAGAAAATCCCTCTATTCCTTCAATTAAGAGAATGTAGCTATATATCTATCCTAACCACTTTGGATACATATATACAAAATGGTCATTCATCTATATCCCCCTTTCTTTGTTTAGTTCCATCATTTAAATATTATAGGTGCATGAACTCAGCAAAATATTCCAAAATAGTCCAGTAGTCCATAATAGAATACTATTGGGTCTTCCACTTTTCTGACAATGTCAGAAGTTGTTGACCTAGGTCCCCTACAGCTCAACAAAACAACATAGCTTTATTTCTTGTACTTCATTTTTATACTTTTCTGCTGGATGGTTAAGGCCAAGATAAAGCAAGACCTATATAATAAGAATTGTAGCTTTTGGATCAGCTAAGATCAGTCAAATCCCCTCAGGATTTATTCTGAGATCCTGTACCTCAAATTGTAGATCCTTTGTCAGTGTCAGCCATGTGGATGAGTAACGGCCATTGCTTGGCCAATTTGCTTTCTGTGAAAACCTGAGAGAATGTTTTCTCTCCCTGTGACTCTCCTTAGGCACACTCTACATCATCGATCACTTTGCTCTTTGGCCCTATAATCTCCTTGATCAGAAAATTTGGGACACAACTGCGTTGCATGTTGTTACAGTACAAGTTCTCATATGTCCTGAGTCTTAATTGACCTTGGAAGGCTAGGCCCATTTACTTGCATTCGTATACTTTTTCTCCTTTTTTTCTGTTTTCCTTTAAGTTTTAGTTATTGACTGCTCC